TCATCTCGTCAAGTTATTCCCAGAGCCTTCTAACTGTGGTGGGATGAGAAAGGCCAGAGAAGGGCAGGACGGCACCAGCATGCCTGCTCTTATTCTTCCATCTTAAGGAGGTCACAGGGTCAAGCTGTAGGCTTGGTGGGCCTGTGAGCTCACTGAGCTTAAACTAAGGGATCTTAGGCAAGCCACTGTCGCTCAAGCATCAGATTCTTTTGAAAGGCAAATAGCTTGTTCCCAGAGCATGTGTGAAATTTAAGGGGCAGGCATACTGAGGTTATGAACCCAAAAATGCAGGATACCACCCCCCCCCCAAACTGCCTCTTCCATAATGAAGGCACGACAGCAAATGTTTAAGGATTGATTGAGGTTTCTACCCAGAGAGACCCTCTAAAGGGTTGTACTCAACAAATGTCTGTACAGGGTCTGAATAGTGAATACAGAGAATGACAAAGACCTGCTTTCTGCCTTTAATAAGCTCATAGCAGAGAAAAGACTAAAAACAATTACAACCAAATGTGGACTTGCTGATCTGGGGGTCAGTATTACCTCAGTCTGCCTATGGGAGCTGGGCAAAGCTGGACCTTAAAGAAGCAGGAAGAATTACTAGGAATTTCAACTGGATAAAATGGAAGATATCCCGGGGCTGGGAAGGTGGCTCAGTGGTAGAGCGCTTGCCTTGCATGCATGAGGCCCTGGGTTCAATTCCTCAGCACCACATAAGCAAAAAGAAAAAAGCCGGAAGTGGCGCTGTGGCTCAAGTGGTAGAGCTCTAGCCTTGAGCTGAAGAGCTGAGGGACAGCGCCCAGGCCCAGAGTTCAGGCCCCATGACTGGACCCCCCCCCCCCAAAAAAAGGAAGACATCCCAAGCAGAGAAGAACCAGAGCCTGGAAGTGAAAAGCTGTCCCTCATCTACAGAGTGGTTGTGGCAACATGAAAAATGGTGAGAATGCAAAGGAGCATAAGAGAGGTGAGGAGGAGGAAGACAGGGGTCAACCTGAGCAGTCCCGTAGTCATGCTAGGCAGTTACTTACTTTATTCACAGCTATAAGGATACTACTGAAAAAAAAAATCAATATAAGGAGTGATCTAGTAAGTTTTTTGCTTTGTTTTGTGATCAGGTGATGACAACCGTGACTCTGTTAGTGTGTACAAGTCTCACAGCCTAGAACAAAAGAGTAGATTAAGATCAAAGATAATTCTAGGTGCTAAGGGCCATGGTCATGCCTGAAATCCCAGCAACTTGGGGAGCAGAGATTGGGTGAATTGATGTCAATTTGAGCATCCCGTTTTAGCAAGATCCTATCTCAATAAAACAAGCCAGGCATGATGAAGAACACCTGTGATCCTGGCTACACAGGAGACATGAGTAGGAGAATTGTAGTACAATGAGAAATCCTACCTGAAAAATACCCAGGAATGAAGAGCTAGAGGTATGGTTCAAGTGGTAGAACTGTATAGTCTAGCAAGCATGCAGCCAATTTAAACTCCAGTACTGGGGAGAGACTCTACGACTGGGGAATGTAGTGCAGATTGCTTGCTTGCCTGCCTGGCAGGCATGCTCCAGGCCCCAGGCTGAAGGGAAGGCTAAGACTCCCAGAGGCACTGAGGGCTGTCAATCTCAGTGCTAAGGAATGTTAGGGTTAGGTACAAGTTTGGGAGAGGTAAGAAAAACCAGTGACTCTGCTTTTTATACCTCAAAGAGACTTTTTCAACCTATAGAAAATTTATGCAAAGATGCTGAGTTGCCAGTATGTTCTATGCATCTATAGTTGAGAAGAAAGGTCTGAGTTGGTCAGCAAAGTCTAAGAATGAAGGTGCAGTTGAGAGCACAGTATGGACAGAACCACTCCCAGGTTTCTGTGGAGGCTTAAGACCTTGCCCCAGTCCCTTACGTCCCCACCACCTGCTGCACATGGCCCCTAGCACCCTTCTTAGAATGGCTGCCAGAAGAGGGTTTTTTCCCTCCTCTTGACAGTACTGGAGTTTTGAGCTCTGGGCATCCACTTGCCAGGCAAGTGCTCTACAGTTTGACCCCTTTCTCCAGCCCAAGGAGGGTGTGTGTGTGTGTGTGTGTGTGTGTGTGTGTGTGTGTGTGTGTGTGTGTGTGTGTGTGTGTGTGTGTGTGTGTGTGTGTGTGTGTGTGTGTGTGTGTGTGTGTGTGTGTGTGTGTGTGTGTGTGTGTGTGTGTGTGTGTGTGTGTCCCCAGCCCAAGGAGGGGTGTGTGTGTGTGTGTGTGTGTGTGTGTGTGTGTGTCCAGCCCAAGGAGGGGTGGGTGTGGGTGTGGGGGTGTGTGTGTACAAGCATGGGGGAGGGGGAGCAGCATGCATGTGCTATCCTGAGACCTGAGAGTTCCCAGGCACTGTCCCTGAGCTTTTGTGCTCAAGGCTAGCACCACTTGAACCATAGCTTCACTTCCAGCTTTTTAGGTCTCATGGACTTCACTGCCCAAGCTGGCTTCAAGCTTGATCCTCAGATGGCAGCTTCCCAAGTAGCTAGGATTATAGGCGTGAGCCACCAGAGCCTGACCCAAGGAAGTTCTTTTTACACAAGATCCCTACTTTGTATTCTGAGAGTCTATTATCTTGGCCAGACCCAAGCATGGATCAGAAAAGACTGATCTAGAGACTACCAGAGATAGGTTCAGTCAGGGTGGCCCTACAAAAGGCCATTCCAGGAAAAAAAAAAACATAAAGACATGTTTTCCCACTTCAAAAAGAACAAATTTACTGTCTACATTCTAGTACACTGGCCTTTAACCAGTCATCTGTATTGATTTCACTCACTTTTCCCTTCCATACACCTACAAATGCCACAACAGATAGCAGGAGCGGATGTGTGGTGTTTTCTAATCACTTCCTTTCATATAGTCACTGTTCTAAAAATACCAAAGGTCCAGGAATAAACCAAAGGAAGCGTTTTCATTATGCCTGCCTCTATTTTCAGTAATTCCCACCTCTCATCTAATTCTCCTCCATTAACTCCAAATGATCCACACGATAACAAAAATAATTTTCACACGTAGTGCTTTAAGAATAGGAACACCGGGCTGGGAAGGTGGCTCAGTGGTAGAGTATTTGCCTTGCATGCCTGAGGCCCTGGGTTCCATTCCTCAGCACCACATAAGCAAAAATCCAGAAGTGGCGCTGTGGTTCAAGTGGTAGAGCGCTAGCCTTGAGCTGAAGAGCTGAGGGACAGCGCCCAGGCCCAGAGTTCAGGCCCCATGACTGGACCCAAAAAAAAAAAAAAGAATAGGAACACCAGCTGGGAACATGGCCTAGTGGTAGAGTGCTTGCTTAGCATGCTTGAAGTCCTGGGTTCGATTCCTCAGTACCACATAAACAGAAAAAGCCAAAAATGGTGTTGTGGCTCATGTGATAGAGTGCTAGCCTTGAGCAAATGAAGCTCAGGGACAGTGCCCAGGCCCTGAGTTCAAGCCCCAGGACTGGTTAAAAAAAAACAGCAACACCATCTTGAGGAAATGAAAACAAAAGGAGAATGCAACTTTGGATACAGCTGCAAGAATATTAACCAAAGCTCAACTAGTAGATAATAGGTCACACACTTTGGAAATGTACAAAATTCTGTGGGATTTAGAATTTTAGTCATCAAAATCTCAGTCTGATAGCCTATCAAACTGAGCAATGAACTCTGACAATGACCAACTTCACCCTTACTCATCCTGCACATTAGGTCACATTATTCTCTACACATTCCACTAAATGTCAGCTGTTCCAAGGAACCATATAATGAAAGAATCACCACACATGGTTTTTAAATCTACCAGCATTATCCCAATGATTCAATCATTCTACCATCAAACCTGGGGGGAAAAATTAAGCTTTTCCTTCCTCCTCTTTGATCTTTTTCTCTCCTCCTAAAAAGCAAAATTTTATACAATTAAAGGCCATGCAGCCTTCACCAGATCTTTAAAGGCAATCAACAGCTCTCAAAATACCAGTTGGTCACCTAGGGACACTTCTTACCAGACAGCACTCAGGCCAACAAAGCTCAGCTCAACCAATATCCCCAGGCTTTTCCACAATCAATGGACATTCTGAAACGTGTGCACATACAATGTTTTCCAGTGCTGGAGATCAAACCCACCACCTGTGCATGCTAGTCAAATGCTCTTCCACGGAGCTACATCCTCAAGTGTATAGTTTAAAATGACCCACAATAATGTCAATTGTTTCCATAAAGATACTAGTCTTGCTGATCCCTACCGGGAAGTAGTCTTGGAAAGAAAAGAGACCAATCAAACCCTATATCCTTGAGATGTATGATCCCAAACTGAGCTGGGAAATTTCTTCCACCTGACAAATTCATCAAGGCACCAATAAAAAAAACTACCGTTTACAGAACCCAATGATTCCTTTCGAGCTAGCCTTCGTAGGAGAGCTGGTTACTTTGCATTTTGGGGGAAGGCTCAGCTGCTTCTGGCTGAAGCTGGAACCCTGAAGGAAAGCTGGTTTCCCACACAGATGCACTCGCCAGGTGGCCACCCACATCACGGTCACTGCTGGAGTAGACGGCTCGAATAGTTGGTTTGGTTGTTGTTTTCTTAACTCTTTGGGAAACTAGTTACCGACTATTTCCTTTATGTCTGTAATTCTACTCACCCAAACATTTTAAAAGACAAAAGTCCTTCAATGTGAGTCCCAACAGCTAACGAAAAGTCGGGGGAGGGGGGGCAAAGTGGAGGGGAGCTGGGGCAGTGCTGAGGATGCGGGTACAGCAAAGGCCCGGGGCTGCTGCTCAGAAACACCCCCTCTCCCCCTGTCCGCCGCCCTGATTCGGGGGGACGCCGAGAGGAACCGGTCCGCAGGTCACCGGGGCCGCCCCGCCCTGCGGCCTGCACCTCCCAGGCAGGCGGCGGTCTCGCGTAGAGCGCGAAGCCCGGAACGCTGCGGCGAGGGCGGCCGCCTCGAGGGGACCGGGACGCCGCGCTCCGGAGTCCGGGAGTCACTCCGCCCGCCCGCCCGCCTTTCCCCGGCACCGCTCACCCGGGCTCTTCAGATTGTAGCGGGTCTCCATGGCGGGGGGACGTGTGGGCCCGCTGACGCGGCTCCAGCCGACTGGGCCTCGCTGACGCCCTCCGGGCCACCCGACTGCGGCCGGGGAGGTGAGACGCGGCCGGGCGCGGGCTCCGCGGCGGCGCCGCCTCCTCCGCGGTCCCTGCCTCCCTGAGGGCCGGGCGGGCGCCGGCGCCGGCCGGGGCGTCGCTCTCCTGGGCGCCCGGACTGCAGGTCACCCTGCTCGTCTGGCCACACGCCCAACCCCACCGCAGCCGCCCGGCTCGCGTCACGCGCCCTCGGCCGGGTTTTGTGAAGTTGGCCTGACGTGGCAGTCTCTTCGTGGCAGGCAGGCAGGCAGGCCGGCCGTCCGCGGTTGCCGCAGGCCTGGCAAAGCCCGCCCAGAGATCTGCAGGACTGGGCGGCGCCCCGTCGTTCCTCCCCCGCCCCCCTCGTCGCCCCCCCCTCGCCGCCGCCTCCCCTCCCCCTCCCCCCACCCGCCCGCTGCGGTCGGTCCGCGGGCTCCTCCTTGGGGGCCCAGGGGGCTCGCGGGTTTCTCGGAGGAACGGCGCCGCGGGATGCGACGCGGCTCGAGGCGCTGCAGAGAGGCCGGGCCGAGGCGCCCCGCCCCCCTCGGCGGGTCGGGCACGCTGGGACACGGGCGGATGGAGAGCCATTAGGTCCGGTGGCGGCGGGTTTAGGATGGGAACGCGTGATCCAGTGGGGGATGAGGAAGTTCATTTCCTGATCGATTATTATTTTTTCTCACGTCGGTAATGTGATCAGGTACATGACACCGTTTTAGGCGTTGTGAGAAATTTGAGCGATCGAAAGTCCAACCGAGAGGAGCACCTTGAATCGAAATGGAAGCACACGAATGTACAGGTGACCCCCGAAAGGCCGGGCCACAGTCATACTTCTTTGTGGAATGAGGGGGACTGGACAGAAGAATAGGCTGAAAAGAGAAGGAGAACCTCAGGACGGGTGGAGAGATCAAAAAATAGGGGGACCAGATAGAGACTGAATTATGGGAGGTGGGGGAGATGAGGAGTTGGGTTTTTGTTACATAAATGTCGGAAAATCTGGATGTGCTTTATATCGCTCTTATCTGCAAGTGAATGACCCAGGGTCTGATTTATATCCACAAGCCTTTTGTAAAAAAAAAAAAAAAAGGGTAGTGGGAGGAAAAAAAGGGAACTTGGGAGGCTGAAATTGGAAAGATGGCAGTTCGAAGCCGGCCCAGGCAGCAGGGTTCAGGGTACTCCCATTTCCAGTTTACCAGCAAAAAGCCAGACTGGAAGTGTGGCTTAAGTGTAGAGCACCAGCTGTGAGCAATAAACCCAGTGAGGGAGCAAGGCCCTGAGTCCAAGCCCCAGTGCCAGCAAAAAAGAAAAGAAAAAGTGAAGGACGCCGGGCGCTTGTAATCCTAGCTACTCAGGAGGCTGAGATCTGAGGATAGCGGGAAAGTCTGTGAGACTCTTATCCCCAGTTAACCACCAGAAAACCAGAAGTGGTGCTGTGGCTCAAGTGGTAGAGCGCTCGCCTTGAGCTGAAGAGCTCAGGGATAGCGCCCAGGCCCACAGTTCAAGCCCCACGACTGAACCAAAAAAAAAAAAAAAGTGAAGAATAACTAAAATTAGGTGGTATCTTCTAAATCATCCAAGGGTATGGTCTCCTAAATAGTGAAGATCATCTGACCAACCTGGACACAAATAACACCAGCTTCTCCCATGGCACTTCATTCACTCATTGATGCTTTATGTTCAGTCTGCAGATTGTCTGCTTCTTGACATCCTTTCTTGCCAGGACTCTGTATAGAGAAGGCTATGAAATAGCCAGGCCTGGGATGTTGTACCCTTCCCATCTGACAGTCCATCTCTGGGTAGTTTTCCTCTGACATTCTCCTTTTCCTCCTCTCAGCAGACAAGATATTTACCTTTTCTTTTACTTTGCAAGATGCCTTAATGGTAGCTAGCCTACCCTGAGAACTCTTCCCCTTGTATGACTGACTGACTCAGTAGGAATTACTTCCTTTGCTTCTTCAGTTAAGCACAGCAACAAATCTATTCTGACCTTTAGTAACAGTTACATGTCTGTAACTAAATTTGCATGAGCAGCAAATTCCAGATTGTCTCTAGGCAGAGACACTTAAAGAGGAAAAAAAAAGAGAGACACAAAAAGAGAGTAGTTATATTTAAAGGTCGCTAGATTCTTGCCTGACAGCTGGATGGAAAGCGAGCTAGTTTCCACAGAAAATGTACTTTATCATAAAATTGATTCTATTTGCCCGGCATGGTAGGACATGCTTGTAATCCCAGCATTAGAGGGGGCTAACTTTCAGGAGGACTGAAAGTTGAAGGCAAGCCTGACAACCTATCAAGACCTTGTCACAGAAAATTAATTGTTTATATGTCATCAGGACACCTTTCATTCCACAAGACACAAATTGTGAGAGGTAAAAAGATTCTATCTTCAATCAAAATTGGGATAATTTATTCTTGGTAATGCTAATAAGAACTGGGGTTTTTGTTTGTTTGTTTTGCCTTCCCCCCCCCCCCCCCCCCCCCCCAGTATTTGGGCTTGAATTTAGGGCCTGGGCACTGTCCCTGAGCTCTTTTTGCTCAAGGCTAGCACTCTACCACTTGAATCATAGCTCTGCTTCCAGCTTTCTGGTGGTTAATTGGAGATAAGAGCCTCATGGACTTTCTTGCCTGGGCTGGCTTTTGAACCCTGATCCTCAGATCTCAGCCCCCTAAGTCACAAGGATTACAGGCATTAGCCACCAGCGCCTGGCTCAGCTTAAGTTATTTTTTTTTTTATTTTATTTTTTTGGGTCCGGTTGTGGAGCCTGAACTCTGGGCCTGAGTGCTGTCCCTCAGCTCTTCAGCTCAAGGCTAGCACTCTACCACTTGAGCCACAGCGCCACTTCCGGCTTTTTTTCTTTTTGCTTATGTGGTGCTGAGGAATCGAACCCAGGGCCTCAGGCATGCAAGGCAAGCGCTCTACCACTGAGCCAACTTCCCAGCCCTGCTTAAGTTATTTTATATTGATTTGGTTTGAATACTTCCAAATCAATTTCATAGATGTTCTTGAAGTGTCTAGAAAATAAGAATATAAATTCAAGTCCAGGACCTCAGGCTCTAAACTTTAGATTATTTTCCTTGCACCAAAAAAAGGGCTCTTGTGACATATAAGGCCTTTCCCCGACCACTTGAGGAATACTTATTATCCAGCCTTTAAAACTTTCATTATTTTTTCAAGAATGGAAAGATGAATGGTGGCAAAATAGTCATTATATTAAATGTACATTATATAAAAGCTGACTTAATAACTTGAGGGTGTGGATGGGGTTGGAAAGATGGGGGAAAATGATGGAGGGAATGACATTCAACAAAATGAACTATGTTCAATTTGACTTGTTAAATTAAAATCCCTCTGCACAAATACATGTTTTAAACTTAAAAAAAAAATTATTGTTGCCAGGTGCCAGTAGCTCACGCCTGTAATCCTAGCTACTCAGGAGGCTGAGATCTGAGGATCACCGTTCAAAGCCAGCCCGGGCAGGAAAATCCGAGAGACTCTTATCTCCAATAAACCACTAGAAAACCGGAAGTGGTACTGTGGCTCACGCAGTAGAGCGCTCGCCTTTAGCTGAAGAGTGCAGAGACAGCACCCAAGCCCAGAGTTCAAGCCCCATGACCGACCAAAAAATATATATATATATGTATATATATAGTTATATCATTATTATAAAGGTGATGTACAGAGGAGCCACAGTTATATAAGCCAGGTAATAAGTACATTTCATTCTGGACAATGTTACCCCTTCCCTTGGTCTCTCCCCGTTTTTCCCTCCTGTTCCCACCCACAAGCTATAGAGTTGATTTTCTACATAGTGTCTATTGAGTACTACTTCTGCATTTGTTCATCCTTTGTTTATCTATTTCTGTGCCTCCCCTTACCCTCCCAAAGACAGATAAAAAAACAAGACAAAAAGAAAAACAGCAACAAAGAAAAATCCTGTTTCCATTAAAATTTTCTTTAAATGACTTTTTTCTTGAAAATAAAACATAAGATTGTTGTTCAATATTTGGAATATGAACAAAATGCAGATATAACCCTACTGCTCAGAAATGCATTAATAAACTGGGTGCTAGTAGCTCAGGCCTGTAATCCTAGCTACTCAGGAGGCTAAGATCTGAGGATTGCGGTTCAAAGCCAGCCTGGGCAAGAAAGTCTGTGAGACTCATCCCACATAAACCCCAAGAAAACCAGAAGTGGAGCTGTGGCTCAAGTGGTAGAGCACCAGCCTTGATCTGAAGAGTTCAGGGACAGCACCCAGGCCCAGAATTCAAGCCCCATGATTGACCAAAAAAACAAAACAGAAAGAAAGAAAAGAAATTGATTAATAGTTTTGCTGTATTTTGAACTTTTATTAAAGAGCATAGGTAAAGAGTTTTAATCCCACTTCATATAAATTCTCTATGCTAGAAATAGCGGCTATCCACTTAATTGGATTATTTGTTTTGAAACAGCAGTGCTGTTATTACTTAGATGGATCTTATGAATTAGCTGATTTCACATCAATATCTTCCTAGAGTAAAATCAGGAAATAAAACACCTTGGAAAGCCATATGGGGACATTATCATGAACATTCAATTCATAATTTTATAAGATAAAAATATGCCATGGGGTGTTTTGTTTGTTTATTGTTTTGCTTTGCTTTGTCTTGTTAGTCATGGGGCTTGAACTCTGGGCCTGGGGGCTTTACCATTTGAGCCACAGAGCCACTTCCAGTTTTGGAGCTACTTTCATGTCTGGACTGGCTTTGAACTGTAATCCTCAGATCTCAGCCTCCTTAGTAGCTAGGATACAGGTGTGAGCCACCAGCACCCAGTTCCATGGGAGTTTTTGTTGTTATTGTCTTGTTTTGTTTTCTCCCTACTGTTTCCTTTGGATTGGCTCATGAGAAACAGGAGGCTGGACACCAGTGGCTCACTCCAGTAATCCTTGCTACTCTGGAGGCTGAGATCTGAGGATCACCATTCAAAGCCAGCCTGGGCAGGAAAGGCTGAGACTCTGATCTCCAATAAACCACTAGAAAACCGGAAGTAGCGCTGTGGCTCAAGTGGTAGAGTGCCAACCTTGAGCTGAAGAGATGAGGGACAGTGCCCAGGCCCAGAGTTCAAGTCCCACGACCAACAACAACAACAACAAAAAACAGGAGCCACTCTCACAGGGATGTAGCTGGCATCAATGTAATGAATTGGTTATGTCATTCTAAAGGCCATAAGTTTTCAGTTTGGTTGGTTAGTGAAATGTCAGGAATGACAGGGAAGGGTTCTTTCATTTTTGCATGCTACGCCTGATTGCACTGATGGTTTAT